GGGCCTTTTGTAGTGCTGCTTCCCTTATTTTTTGCTGAGGCACTGGGAGACCCATTTGCTGTAGAATGCCAAGGCACCAGAATCTCCTCCTGGTGTGCTAAAGTGGGTCTTTCCACTAGCTGGCTGGACAACTCCCATTCCATACTGCTCCCCTTTCCCAAGGGTAAGAGGGGCCTTTCCCATTAATTCCTCTAGCTACCTGGGCTACTGCAGTGCTGCACCCCATCTTTCTTCTGATTCAGCTGTTTCAGGGTTTTTTCTGGGGTGATATTTTCTGGGTTTTCAGAGGTTGATAGGGGAGAGTGAGAGCGACTACCTTTTTACTTTGCCATCTTGGCTCCTGGAAGAGGAAGTCCTGAATGACTTCTTTAGGTAACTAAAAAGGAAATCTTCATGAGACAACCTTGCTGTCAAAATGTTCTCTACATTTTCCTGGTTTTTTTTCTTCTTCTAATTTTAGCTGCATTGATTTTGTTTGTGGAAAAACATTTTTCATTTTATGTAATCATATTCATTCATTTTACCTTCTGGGAAACTCTTTATCTCTTGTCTGGTCATGAACTCTTTCCCCTTCAATAGATCTGATAGTTAATTACTTCCCTGCTCCACTAATTTGTTTGTGATATCACTCATTAGGAAGATAATTGTGTAGAGGGAAGAAACTGATTTGTAAAGGAAGGTACTGTCAAAACAAAAGAATTATTTTTTCCCAAGGGGAAGGATGTCAGAGAAAAGAAGAGGTGCTCTCTGCATGTTGGAGGAGAATAAAAAGGTTTGTTTTTGTTCAATATTAGCTGGAAACTGGAGCAATAGCCAGGTGACCTTGACTTTGATTCTTGACCAAATTCTACATGATGATTGTGATCATCACTTCCTGTCCTGGATGTTCACTGTTAATCCCTCCTTGAGCCTCTATTTGATTTGTTAGACCTCATCAGGAAGACTTGGCCAACTACAGAGTATAAGACATTATTTTACCTCTGTCATAATCTTTGATTATTTGCAACCTCACTTATGCTGCACTATATTGAAATATTGGAAAGAGACATATTAAACTAGTCTTTTTTCTATACCTACATGATCACTGTGAGAATGCATTAAAAGAATTCTTTTCAGTCTGGAAGGATGTGTATTCTGAGAGGAAATGTGTTCTAAGTCTACCCAATTGGGATACATTTGGACAATGAAAAAAATGGACTTTTTTATGTTGTATGCTGGCAGTAATAAATCTCAGTATTGCAAAAAGGGCATTTTGTGCCTTGTAGAACCAACAGGATTGGTTTGAAATGATGTTATTTTCAGTGGCAGCTAGGTGGCACAGTGGATAGAGCACTGGCCCTAAAGTCAGGAGGACCTGAGTTCAAATCTGGCCTCAGACCAAACACTTGACACTTACTAGCTGTGTGACCCTGGGCAAGTCACTTAACCCCAATTGCCTAAAAAAACAAAAACAAAAAAAAAATGATGTTATTTTCCTGATATAAAACTAGAAGGATATTAACCATAAAACATTGGTGGGGGGTTGGAGCCAAGATGGCAGAGTAAAAGCAGTGACTTGCTTGAGCTCTCCCCCAAACCCCTCCAAATACTTGTAAAAAATGACTCTAAACAAATTCTAAAGCAATAGAACCCACAAAAAGACAGAGTGAAACAAATTTCCATCCCAAGACAACCTGGATGGTTGATCACAAAGGTATATTGAGCTGGGCAGGGAGAGGAATGTGGTTCGGCATGGGTGCTCAGGCAAAACAGGCCTCAGCGAACCTGGAGCAGCCCTCAGGGGACTGAATCATGGGCAGCTGTGGTGGTTTCCAGACTTCTTAACCCATGAATGCAAAACACAACTTAAAAGGTCAGTAGGAGAAGTCTGTGACTACAGTAAGAAAGAAGCTGGGTCCCAGTCCCAGTCCCCAAGCACAGCTCTGGGGTGGTGGCTGCTTCCAGAGCTTCCAGCCCACAGATTGAGAGGGAATTGAGTTGCTGATCAGAGGGGGATTGCAGGGATCTCTTTGCTGGTGCGGGATTCTCTTGCTGTGCCCTGTTTGGATCTGGGTCATAGTTCTGGGTGGTGGTGCTGAGGGGAGGAAGAGTGCTGGCATGGTGGAGCTTGTAGTGGTGGTGGAGAGAAAATCCTCCTCACAGTTCCAAGACAGAAAACAGTGCTTGTGGTCACTCATAGACCAGAACACAGGCCAGGAAATGAGTAAACACTTCACCTTTGATCATACCACCTTGGAAGAACTGAAAATTTACAGGTCCCTAGACATATCTCTGAAAACAACTTCACAAAACCCCTAAAGCTTGAGATAGTACATTCTCCACACTGGAAGCAGACTCCTACCTTAACAAAGAGTTTATAACTCAAGTAATTGGCTGGGATGATGACCAAACCTCACAAAAAAAGTTAGACCATAGAATCTTTCTTTGGTGACAAAGATGATAAAAACATACAACCAGAAGAAGACAACAAAGTCAAAGTTCCTACATCCAAAGCCTCCAAGAAAAATATGAATTGGTTCCAGGCCATGGAAGAGCTCAGAAAGGATTTTGAGAAGCAAATAAGAGAAGTAGAGAAAAAACTGGGAAGAGAAATGAGAGTGATGCAAGGAAATCATGAAAAACAAGTCAACAGCTTGCTAAAGGAGACCCAAAAATATACTTAAGCAAATAACACCTTAAAAAATAGCCTAATCCAAATGGCAAAAGAGGTCCAAAAAGCCAATGAGGAGAAAAATGCCTTAAAAAGCAAAATTGGCCAAATAGAAAAGGAAGTCCAAAAACTTACTGAAAAAAAAAATACTTCCTTAAAAATTAGAATGGAGCAATTGGAAGCTAGTGAATTTATAAGAAATCAAGACACTGTAAAATAAATCCAAAAGAATGAAAAAATAGAAGACAATGTGAAATATCTCTTTGGAAAGACAACTGGCTTTTCCATCTTCCTCAGCCCCTCAGCAGTTGCATGAACTCTCAGGCCACACACTGCCCCTCATCCCACCGCCGCTGCTGCCACCATGCCCCAAAAAATCGAGGAAATAAAAGACTTCCTCCTGACAGCCAGGCAAAAAGATGCCAAATCTGTCAAGATCAAGAAAAGCCAGACAACGTGAAGTTTAAGGTTCACTGCAGCAGATATCTGTACACACTGGTCATCACAGACAAAGAGAAGGCAGAGAAACTTAAACAGTCCCTGCCTCCTGGTTTGGCTCTGAAGGAGCTGAACTGAAGGAATCATTCAATGTTCCACCTGTATAAAAATGTAGGGGGGGAAAAAAAGAAAAAATAAGAAAAACAACTGACCTGGAAAACAGACCCAGGAGAGAGACTTTTAAAATGAGTGGACTATCTGAAAGCCATAACCAAAAAAAGAGCCTAGACATCATCTTTCAAGAAATTGTCAAGGAAAACTGCCTTGATATTTTAGAACCAGAGGGCAAAATAGAAATTGAAAGAATCCACCAATCACCTCCTGAAAGAGATCCCCACAGGAAAATTCCTAGGAATATTGTAACCAAATTTCAGAGTTCTCAGGTGAAGGAGAAGATATTGCATGCAGCCAGAAAGAAATAATTCAAGTATTGTGGAAACACAATCAGAATAACACAAGATTTAGCAACTTCTACATTAAGGGACCATAGGGCTTGGAATATAATATTCCTGAGGTCAAAGGAGATAGGATTACAGCCAAGAATCACCTACCCAGCAAAACTGAGTATAATCCTTCAAGGGGAAAAATGGTCATTCAGTGAAATAGAGGACTTTTTTTTTTAGGCAATTGGGGTAAAGTGACTTGCCCAGGGTCACACAACTAGTAAGTGTCAAGTGTTTGGTCTGCAGCCAGATTTGAACTCAGGTCCTCCTGACTTCAGAGCCAGTGCTATATCCACTGCACCACCTAGCTACCCCTAAATAGAGAACTTTCAAGCATTCTTGCTGAAAAGACAAGAGCTGAATAGAAAATTTGACTTTCAAATACAAGACTCAAGTGAAACATGAAGAGGTAAACAGGACAGAGAAATCATAAGGGGCTTATTAAGGTTGAACTGTTTACATTCCAGCATGGAAAGATGATATTTGTAACTCAGGAGACCTTTGTCAGTATTAGGGTAGTTAGAGGAAAAATTAAATGTATATATAGATAGATAAATAGAAGGCACAAGGTGAATTGAAGATGGAGGGGTGATATCTGGAGAATAAAATTAAGGAGTGAGAGAGGATTATACTGTGAAAAGGAGAGAGAGGTAGAATGGGGTAAATTATCTCATATAAAACAGACAAGAAAAGACTTTTACATTGGAGGGGAAACAGGGGAATAAGTGAATCTTATTCTCATCAGATTTGGCTTAAGGAAGTAATAACATACACACTCAATTGGGTATGAAAATCTATCTTACCCTACAAGAAGATGGGGGGGAGGGGACAAAAGAGAAGAGTGATGATAGAGGGGAGGACAGATTGAGGGAGGGGGTAATCAGAAGCAAACACTTCTAAGGAGGGATAAGGTCAAAAGAGAGAATAGAATAAATGGGGGGCAGGATAGGATTAAGGGAAATATACTTAGTTTTTCACAACATGACTACTATGGAAGTGTTTTGCATGACTACACATGTACAACCTGTATAGAGTTGCTTGCCTTCTCAATGAAGGTGGGTGGGGACAGAGGAAGGGAGAAAATTTGGAACCCAAAGTTTTAAAAACAAATGTTAAAAAATTGTTTTCAATGCAACTGAGACATAAGACATACAGGAAATGGAGTATAGAAATCTATCCTGCCCTACAGTAAAATTGAAGAGGAAGGGGATAAGAGACGGTGGGGAGTGGGAGAAGAGATAGAAGGGAGGGAAGATTAGGGGAAAGGGTAGTCAGAATACATGCCATCTTGGGATGGGGAGAGGGACAATATGGGGAGAAAATTTGGAACAGAGAATCTTGTGGAAGTGAATGTTGAAAACTAAAACTAAATAAATAAAAAACATTGAGACATTGTTTGTTCCTTGCAGACATGGACTACTGCATGAAATGTCCAGAGGATAAGTATCCAAATAAAGAGAGAAATCATTTCCTCCCAAAGATTGTGACCTTCCTCACTTTTAAGGAGCCCTTGGGGTTGACTTTAGCTTGTATAGCTCTTTCCTTTTCTTTCCTCACAGTTCTGATTCTTGTGATATTTGTGAAATTTCAAGACACTCCCATAGTGAAAGCCAGTAACAGGATTATCAGTTACACACTCCTAATATCCCTTACCTTGTGTTTCCTCTGCTCCATGCTCTTCATTGGCCATCCAACATCAGCAACCTGCCTCCTACAACAAACTATATTTGGAATTGTGTTCACTGTGGCTGTTTCTTCTATTTTAGCCAAAACCACCACTGTTGTTCTGGCCTTCAAAGCCACAAGACCAGGAAGCAAGATGAAACCTAGAATTTCTAATTCTGTTATCTTCATCTGCTCTATGATTCAATTGACTCTCTGTGGCATCTGGCTAGGAACCTCTCCACCTTTCCCAGGACTAGACACACACTCTGAACCCAGACACATAATCATTGTTTGTGAGATGGGGTCTGTCATCACCTTTTATAGTTTCCTGGGCTACATGGGTTTCCTAGCACTGGCAAGTTTTACAGTGGCTTTTCTGGCCAGGAATCTTCCTGACACCTTCAATGAAGCCAAGTTGATCACATTTAGCATGCTGATCTTCTGCAGTGTATGGATGTCTTTCATTCCTGCCTATCAGAATCCCAAAAGAAAGGCTGTGGTGACTGTAGAGATCTTCTGTATTTTGGCATCCAGTGCTGGGTTATTAGGTTGCCTCTTCCTTCTCAAATGTTATGTGATCCTTCTGAGACCAGAGAGGAATACCTTGTAATATTTAAAGCAGAAAGCAGATTCAAATAGAAGAAGTCAGTTTGAAACTTTGACTGGGAGGTCCATCTGACAAAATAAAGTGATTCCTGAAAAAAAAATTCATATTAACCTTAGAAATCTATAATTAGTGATATCTAAATCTTTACTAGGTTCTCCACTAAACACGTCATTCTTTTCATATTAATTGTTCTGAAAGAAAGGATTATTAATAACCAGTGATTTGGAGACATTCAGTTTCCCCCCTTTTTTTAATCCTTGTTTCCAGACCTCAGCCTCTGAAGGTTGAGCTAACCTTCTTTTCTATCCCAAACCACCCAGGTGGGGCAGCTATTGGTTCTACCCAGGTTTGGGTGGGGATAAATTCTTTGAATATGTTGCTCAAGGCTGGGACTAACAGAAGTAAATGACCCAATCAAAGTTCAGGTCCAGCCCCTCATTATAATATTCATTTTCTTATTAATTGTTAGCCAATCAGAGTTGATTGCCATCCTTGGAACACTCCTCTTTCAAAAAGGCACTTGCACCTGTCTCCTCCTGACTCCTAGAGTCTTTCACCCAGCACCAGTTATGGTATACCTTCAAACAAGTCCACTGGTGGGGTAGACCCAACAAATCATTGTGCATCTCAGATGGAAGAAGATCCTGTGGAGCACATAGTGACAGGTTGTAGCCTTGAACCTCTGGCCCATTTATTGGAATAAAAAGTTAAAATTTAAAAAACTTAAGAGGCATATAAGGCATGAACCTGCTGCCATCATTTTCCTTGGTCTAAGAGAGGGAGGGTCAAATGACAATCCTTCTATTAAAATGTTGGTATTATTAATAAAATGATTAAATCATCCAGAAACTATGTTTCTTGAACTTTTTTAAATGTGATGGTTACAAATGAAAAACAATCCCTCACTAAGGGGAGAAAATTCCAGTTATTTTGAATACTTGGCAATCAAGATTCCCCATCCTTCATTGCCTGATCCCTTATTGCCATTCTTCTCTATCCAACCAAGGCCCCTAGGTGGATATAAATGTTTACTTTTTACTCCTTCCCTCAATCCCTCCCTCCCTCCTTGCTTACCTCCCTTCTTCCCTCCCTTCCTTCCTTTCTTCCTCCATGTCTCACTCTAAAGCCACCCATCACTATGCTCTCTGCAATGCCTATACCACTAGCAACAAATTTGATTTCACCTTAAATCTTTTCCTTTACCATGACTCTCATTTTCTACCTCTCATGGAGATTTGGCTACTTTCTGATGAAATGGTGCTCTGTGCCTCCCTATTTAGAGCTGGCTAGACATGCACTGATTCTTTCCAAGTTACTGGCTGAGGTGAGGGAGCTGGAATACTCTTTACTCACTATTGTCACTTTCAGGTTCTCCCTTTGCCATCACCACTAAGCAACTTCTCTTCTGAGGCTCATTCAATCTATATCTACCACTCAATCAAAATTTTATTAGCTGTTATCTATTGACTTTTGGAACTCTTCTCTTCTTTCCTCAATGAGTTCAAGGCCTGGATCAAGACACTTCTCTCCTCATCAACTGCTGCCATCACATTAGAGGACTTCATCATCCATAATGATATTTCCTTAAATACCCAAATACCCTCAGTTTACTTCTCATGACCTACTTCTCTACTCCAGCTCAGTTATATACAAAGATGGTCATATCCTTATCTTCTTGTCATGAACACATGCAACAGTTCCATGTTTATGAACTTGGAAATGTCCTCATTTAATTGCAAGCCATTGCTGTTCTTTTTGCTATTTTCTGCCTTTTAGACCCAAATACCATTCATCTACACCGTGACATCCAATCCCTCGATGCTCTGTCTTTGACTTTCTTCTTTTCTTACTCTATATTACTTTACTTTGGTGATCTCAATAGCTCCCATGTTTTCAATGATCATCTCTATGCAGATAATTCTTCAGTCTACTTATCTAACCCTAACCTCTTTGCTGACCTCTAGTAACATTTTCAATGGTTTATTGGACTTCTTTAAGTGGATGTTCAAAAGACTTCTTAAAATAAGCACGTCCAAAACAGAACACATTATCTTTTCCCTCACACCTTCCCCTCTTCCTAACCTTCTTATTCCTGTTGAGGGTAACTAAATTCTTCTCACTCACACAGGCTCCCAACCCAGGTGTCATTCTTGACTTCTCACTCTTTTTCATGACCCCCATATCAAATCTGTTGCTAAGGCCTATAAATTTTTACCTTGGTAAAGTTTCTCACATATAACCCTATCTCTCCTCTGACTTTGCCACCATCCTGGTTCAGATCCCCATCACCTCACATCAGGAAAACTGCAATTGCCTACTGCTTGGTCTGCTTCATGACTAGAGCATGGATACACCAGGTACTTGTTTGAGCTCAAAGAACACCTGATTCTGGGATTTTGCTGTGGTTGAGATCATCCAGAGGGTGAGCATGAAGGACTGTTGTTATGCCAAACTCAGGGCAGAGCTTGCTTGCTGGGCCTTAGCTCTGGAAAACAGAGTGTCTCCTAATATCTTGACATTTGATAACTTTATGTGGAGTTTTAGATGTGACCAGTATACAATGCCAATGGTGATGAGATGAATGATTTTCTGTGTAAGGTAATTTGGAAACACATTCAGCTAAATTGAGGTCACCTAATTGGTTTTGTTTCAAATTTCAAATGCATAATATTGTTTATGGTATTGTTATATTTCTAGATTTTCTTATAGTGTGACATTTGGTAAACAACTGTATCAGCTATATCATTAGAAAAGCAACTTCTCTTATAATCTGAATGTTATTAGATGAAGAATTATACTTATTACTATAATATAAAATATTAGTACTTATATATAATATATAACATATTTTATATATAATATAAATACTTAATATTACATTGTTATTAACTGTGTTAAAAGAAGGCAAAAAAAGTCTGAAAACTGTTATGTTATTTTATCAACCCTGCTGACCAAATGTTGTAATATTCTGAAATAACGTAATTAAGAACTTGTAAACTGCCAGGGTTGCCTACATTTAAGAGGAAGTTTTATCTAAAATTTACTTTTGAAAATTATGAGATCGTTAACTAAGTTATTTGGACTTGTTGTCATAATGTCAAAGCCTATCAGTTAGTTATATGGGTGTTTTAAAAAGGAAAATTGATAATTGATTAATGTGGTATAAAGAAAAGACCTTGTAAAATCTCTTTTGTAAACCTAGAAGAATTCTTGGAACCATCTGAGGGAAGTTTTCAAGCCTGCTTATGATGTAGAGTGTGTTTCATCTCAGGTTATTTGTCTACTACTTGTGGAGGTGTTAGATTGATAGATTGATAAATACACACATACACACACACACACAAACACAAACACAATCACATAGTTAAATAATTTGCAAGTTGCAAGTTAAATAATTAGTGATAGTTTTTGACTCAGGGCATGCCATGCACTCTACCAAATAGCTTTTACCTCTCTCCCAGACATTGAGGAAGACCATTAAGATTAAATTAATTCTACACTTTGACTCTGGAAAACATAGGCTGGTTCATGACAACTTGGATGAGGTGTTTGGATAACATGTTTCTATGAACTCCCTGAGATGGCCAAGCAACTGCTGACAATGATAAAAACTTTTGGTGTACTTCGGACAGAATTCCTTCCCCTCTCACTTTGTGGAGGCTTGTCTATCTTTAAGCTCCTTCGACACTCAAGGGATGGCCTTTCTTTCTTTCAAGCATTGAAATGACTACTGGCAAAAGTTGGAAAGGGAAATTCAGCTGGATTGTTATCCCCATATCATCTCCAGAGCAGAGAGAATTGTGGAAGATATGAAAGGAAGGGAGAAAATGAAAAGCAAGAAACAAAGAAGCAAGAGATGAGAAAAATCTAAGAGGGAAGAAGAAAGAAAGGAAATAGGGCAGGAAGGAAGGGACAAAGTTAGATAAGAAACATTAAGCACTTACTTAATGGAGGCCAGTGTCTGCCTCTGTGCTAGGCTCTCTTCATTACTATCTCAATGGATCCTCAAAGCCCCCTTCTGATGTAGGTCCTGTGATAACTCCCACTTTATAAATGAGGAAACTGAGGTAGACAGCAGTTAAGAGAAAATCCTGAGTCACCACTTCTTAAGAATCTGAGACCCTGAATAATATTCACTTTCTTCTTGGAAAGCACTGAAATCTCAGTGGAGTTTGGGGATTCCCCTCTGCCAGCCAGGAGCACTTGCATATCTGAATTAGGTTAATAATACCTTCTAACTTTCAACCTCATTTTCAGGAAAGTCTTTGCTTGATTTCTAATCTCACTCTCACATTCCAGAAAGTGGAAGTTGTCCAGAGTACAATGCCAATACCTCTTTACAATATTGTTGGAAACATATAGAAAAAATACTGAAATAACGCTCCATGGAAAGATAGTAGTGTTCTTTAGAAATAAATTTTATTGAAGTGTTGTTTATCTCGGTCACCAGAATTGCAAACACTATCCCCCCACCATCCCTTCTCTCCCAGACAGTCATCTCAGATAACAGATGATTTTAAGCAAAAGCATGAAAGGGGAAGAGAAAAGTCAATAAAACTCATGGACATATCAACAAAATCTGCAAAACAGCATGACCAAGAACATTCCACCTCTGAAAAGTAATCAGGTCGGGGCATCTTCTCTTATCTCTTCTTTGGGGAACGGATTTTTCTATATAAATTTGCCACGTGGGCAGCTATTGGCTTTTGTGTTTGGAATGAAGGGGTTCTTGGCATTTTCTTGACTTTTTCATTTCCTTAAAAACTGTCTCAAGAAGGGACAGGGCAGACAAGTGTGGTAATGCTGGTTCCCCTAGTGATGGACTTGTCTTCCACTCAGCTCCTAACTAGGGAAAAAGGAAAGAGGAAGAGAAATAGGGAGTGAATCTGAGGAAAACCTTACGTGCAAATGTCCAAAGTGGCCTCACCATGGTCTCTACTGGTCACTGGTAGCCTCTAGAATCTGAGTACACATTGACTGCCAGGGATTTCCTCCAGGCATTG